TGACCCTTCCTCAGCTCCCTGCTGTATACCTGATCTCCCCACCTGCCCCAGACACCTTCTCAGCCCTCACCTCTGCCCTCTGTCCCACACCCCAACCAGGCATGAGTCAGCCCCACATCCCACTGGCCACATGCACCAGGCCTTCACTATCTAGCCACAAATGGGGCCCTTTTCCCCTCCCACCAATCCCCCCAAAGTCCTGTGTCCCCAGGAAGCCCCCAAGATTACTCTTTCTTCTTCACCATTACCCAGGTCCTGAGTCAGCCACCACACATGGCCAGTACCTTCCTTGGCATGGTAACATTACGTCCTATGATGGCCCCAGCCTCACCCCTGAAACTGTGCTGCGAACACTTCCAGAAACACCATGTCCCACTGGGGCTCTGCTGGGGAGTCCCACACACACTCTGTCAGCCACACCACTCCTGCCATCCTTCCTTACACTTCCCACACAGCCTCATCCCTGCCTCAAGGCTACCGTGCTGATCCTGGTCCCCATGTCCCTGTGCTCCTCAGGGCACAGATTTGCACAGACTACGACCCCATGTCTTCTATGAAGCCACAGCTTCCATAGTTGGCATCGTGGGCCTCAGGTCCCTGGTGTCTCATGGGCTACTAACCCCCATATATTCTATAAGGTCTGTGGCTGTTGGATTCCTCTTTGGGAATTGTAGTAGTTTGAATGAGATGTTCCGATAGTCTTGGGCATCTGAATACATGGTCCCCAGTCGGTGGCGCTGTTTGGGGATGTTTCGGAGGTGTGGCCTTGCTAAAGGCTTTGAGAGATTAAAGACTTGCAGCATTTCCAGTTCACTCCCTCTGCTTCGTGTTTGTGGTTTGGAGGTGTGAGCCCTCAGCTGCTCTGTCATCATGGGCTCTGATCCCTCCCTCTGGAACTGTTAGCCCAAATAAATCCTTCCTTCTCTAAGTTGCCTTGACCATGAGGTTTTATCACAGCAATAGAAATGTGACTAATACAGGAATCCCCCCCTAGAACAAGTATTCTGAGGCACATGACTAGTTCTTAACCGGATGCCCTATCTGCTAAGTGACAGGGATGCAGGAGTCCATCGGTCCTATTTCTCTCCTAGGCCACAGAGGACTGCAACAAGACCATCTCAGAGCTGGAAGAAACTCAAAAACTCCTGAGCAGCTCCCTCCAGGAGAAGCAGCAGACCCTGTCAGATATGCAGGGTAACACAGATGTTCTGGAGGATGAGATCAACCATCTCACGGCTCTCAAACGGCAGGTAGATATCTTGGGAGCTCTCTGGGCCTGGGGCGTCCAGGCAGAGGGGGGAGTACCCCAGGAGAAGCCCGTGTCCCACATGAAGCTCTCCCCAGGACCAGCTACTCCTTCAGCTGGTGATGACACCACCTACTTTCTGCTCATGTTTACATCTCTTGTGATTTGGTCACACCATACATTTTGATCTCCTCCTGTTATTGGCTGGGTACCATTCTGGATGCCCAGGCAACCAAATAGAAACAAAATCCCTAGCTGTATTGAAGATTATAGTCTTGGGACACGAAGATGGAAGCTGTCAGGGCCTCCGAGTAAAATCAAGGGGTTGAGTTTTTGAGAGGAGCAATCCAAGAAGGCCATGTAAGGAACACGCTTGAGTCAAGGCTTCAAGAGGTGGGAGCGGAGGAAGCCATCAGGTAGGTGGGGTAGCCTGGCCAAGAGGGGCCTGCCCAGACTGTACCAAGCCTTGAGAGGGGCAGGATCCTGTCCTCGGGGGACAGTATAAAGCTCTAGGGCTGAGGGTGACCTGGAATCAAGAGAATCCCTCCTGGCTCTGGGGCAACATGGAACAGAGCATCTGTGGCAGACCTGAGGGGCACAGCAAACCTGAATCCCAGTGTGTATCTGAGTCTGCGTGGAACTCAGAAGTTCCCCACTGGGATTTCCAGCCAGCCTGGCTGTGGTCTGAGACCGAGAGGTTTCAGGAGTGCATCGAGCACCAGCCTGACACACAGCAGTCAGAACACTCCACCTGCCCCCACTGATGGAGGAGCGAGGCTCGTCACTCTCCCCACCTTGAGTCCAGAGACTTGACTTCTCCTCTCTGGCATCCCCTCCAGTCTGGGTTCAGGACAGGAGTCCTCCTGACTTCTGGGGACTGACACAGGGTCTCTTCTCCTCTCTGGCATCCCCTCCAGTCTGGGTTCAGGACAGGAGTCCGCCTGACTTCTGGGGACTGACACAGGGTCTCTTTCCCTCCCAGAACCTTTTGGATATTGTGGCCCTGCAGACGCGTGCCAAGTACCTGCAGGCTGTAATTGATGGGAAGTACGTGTTCCTACATCGCAACAGCAAGTCCCAGATACTGGAGCGCAAGCGCCTGGACATGCGGCTGTCCCAGCTCAGTAATGTCCTCTCCCAAGTGCAGGAAGATTACCCCCATTTCCAGGACATGCTGCATAAGGTTCAACAGAAGATCGCCAGCAAGCTGGCGCCCCCAGAGCCCTCCTAGACAGCACTTGGCCCGCACCTGCCAAGGCTGCTCGAAAGGAGATCCAGGGAAACCCCCTCATGTTCTGAAAAGCCATGTGTCCCCTAGAATGACACCCTGCTTGAGAAACACTGACAAGCCAGACCTGTATGAGTCACAGCCACTCTGCTGTTCACACCAGGTGTAATGCAGCACTCCTGATCCACTTTGGTGAGCATGCCTGCTTGCAGAGGAATGACCTGGGCATAAAAATCCACTCTTCCCTGTTGGGTTTACCCATCCAGACAAAGACATCCTGTTGGCAGTTCTGCAGTCTGCACCTGACACCTGTCACACTGTCCTGGGAGAGGGCCTCGGTTTTGTGGAACACATAATGGAGAGAGGGCCCCAAGGAAGCCAGGCACAAGGTAGACGGCTTCAACCCTCAAATGTCTGCTCCAGCCCATCTGAAACCCACATTCCGGTTCCCCATCCCCACCCACAGGAAGCTCAGCCTTCTCCTACCCCCACCTGCCGGGAAGCCTTAAAACAGGTTGAAACCCAAAGATCAAAGCTAAGGATCCCAGGGCTCCAAGGAGGGCGGATGTCTATGGAGGCAGTGACCACTTCAGTAAAGGGCACCTGTCTCTCGTCCCCTGACCCCGACCTCTCTCTTCCTCTCTGCCTCCCCTACCCTGGATTTCTAGCACCCACCGGTTGCCTTTTTGCCTCTGTAGATGTGAAATGGAAAATGTCCTGTAGAATAATTTCAGTTTTAAACTTTACAGCCGAAAAATAAAATTTATGAAAGCTGTTTCTGGTCAAAGGAGTAAGACATGTTCATCCTAACAATGAAATACATAAAAACAACCAAGAGGCCGGGAGACCCCAACCACTCCCACCCTGCCTGGGACACACCCACTGCCTGGCCCTCTCCTTCAGTACTTGCTGTGGATTGGTTCTATTTAGCAAGTGAAGGCCACTGTGTGTCAGTCACTTGCTTGTAACAGAGTTTGTTTTCTGATACGGAGTCTGGCATCCCTAAGAAACTGGGCTCAGCTTCCTGTCGTCAGTGCCAATTAAAGAGAACAGTGAAACGCAGAGAAAGGGTGTTTATTAAATGTGGCCACCACCCCACCAGGTCCATCTCAAGGGTCCTGATGTGAGGTGTAACTCTGAGTTGGGCAGCCTTGGCCAAGGAGAAGTCCCATCCACCACGGACCATTGGCATTGGTCATCCCTGTACTGTGGTCTGACCAGGGGGCTGACCTGTGTGCAGTAGCTTCCCAGGACATTCCCCCTCCCCAGCATGGGATTGGGGGGTTGGTTTTAGTTTTGGGGGGTCCATTGTTTCAAAGTGTGACAGCCAGAGGACACCTATCATATCCTCTCCTGCAAGAGTGGCACACTGCAGGCAGGGATGTCGCTAGGGGTAGGACACTGGCCTGCCAACTATGGTTCTTGAAACAGGTCTCACCAGGTGTCCCATGTTGGTCTCAAACCAGCAATCCTCCTGCCTCTGTCTCCTGAGATTACATGCCTGCATCACCACCCTGTGCTTATGTCTCAATGTATGACCTTCACGTCAAATGCCTCCGGGTTTTCTGTGTGATCACGTGTTTTGTCACTTCCCTACCAAAGCTGACGGAACTTCCGGGTCTGGGCTGGTTTTCATTTCTCATGGAAGATGATGGCTTCTTTGGGCTGGGCCTGTCTGGGCGTCAGGCATCTTCCCGGTCACCGCGCCCCGACACCTGCGCGCTCTGCCGCCCGCGGCCACTAGGCGGCGCAGCGAGAACGCACTGCTGGACTCCGGCGCCTACGCAGGAGGCCGCGTCACGTGGTCCGCGCGGCCAGCCCCGCCCACGGACCACATGACCCCCGCTATCCAGCTTGGCTGGGGGGCTGCGGCAAGGAAGGCGATTGCGCAGGTGAGCTGGGCGAGCTGGGCGAGCTGGTGCAGGCCGTCTGAGGCCCAGGCCCGAGGGGCTCCGGAGGAGCGGCCTTCTTCTGGCAGGCGCGGCCGACCACCAGTGAGTTCCTGCTTGGGAGAATCGAGCAGAGAAACCGAGATAGGTGGGACCCCCGACCCCCGACCCCCGACTCAGGCAGCCGCGGTCAGTGACCTTTTAGTAACGCATCAGGCTTCGGCCAGGTCCCGTGTTCTAATTCGTGCCCTCAGTGCTAGGTGGGCAAAGCTGTGTGTGTATATGTCTCTCAGGGGGAAACTGAGGCACAGAGAGACCGTGTCCGGTATCTGAAAGCTTGGGTTTGGACTCGCCTGTGCCTGGTGGCGCTGCGGATCCAGCATCTTTCCAAAAGCAAGTTTGGGTCTCCAGATTAGCAGTGGCGTCTTATCTTTGGTTCCTTCCCCATTTCTTTCTTTCTTTCTTTCTTTTTTTTTTTTTTTTTCTCTCTCTGAAATGTGGAGCTGAGAAAACAGGCCTGAGCCATCTGGTCTCTGTGTCTGAGACTTTGTTCTGATGTACGCGTTTCCCAGTTGCGCCCCGGGGCCTCCTTGGAAGGCCCTGGAAGATGCAGATGCCCACCCTGCCCTGTCTGAACCTGTGAGCGTCATTGGATGCTGAATCATGATCAGCGTCACATGTGTGGAAGGGCCAGGTGGAGCTGGAGCTGCGCAGTAAAGACAGAGCGGGTCTCTGGCTCATGCTTGGTCTCCCCAGTGGTTAACTGTCTTTCTGTTGCTAGTCTGGAGGCTCGGGTCCCTAGTAGCTTTATGGCTGCTGGGCACCCTGAAAGACCATGATTGGAGGGTTGGATGCCCACCCAAGCATCCCACCTCCCACGGGAGGCTAGAGATCACACACCGTGGCTGCTGATTTCCTCAGTCATGCCTGCGTAAGGGGAAGGTCCACAGGAGCAAACAGAGCTGGATGTGATCTCCAGTGCCTGGACACAGCATGTGGGAGGTGCTGGCAGGAATCCAAGGTCATAGCAGGTTTAAGGCAAGCCTGGGCTACTGGAGACCCTAACTCGGAGCGACAGCCAAGCGGCTCCAGAGAGCACCCCAGATGGTCCACGTGTTGCAGGGACACTCCCACCTGTTCCCAACTCATTTCTTCTCTCCAGCTGTTCTTGCATTGCAGCTAAAAAAACAAAACAAAACAAAACCAGTAAGCGTAAGAGAAGTGCTTTTGTGAGTTCTGAGATGTTCCAGTGAGTTCCAAACCTGGTAAAGGGGTCCTCGGGACCACCAGGTCGGTAGCCGGCCCATCAGAGGTGCTGGTGGTAACCTGAGGTTTGTAGCCGCTGTGTAAGTGTGGTAGAGCCCCAGCTTCGAGGAGTCCACCTGACTGTAGTTAGATCAGGCCTGACATGGGTTGCAGTTCGCCACACACATACACACACACACACATACACTTGTAGGTGACTGGAGAGCTGGGGAGTCACTTGCAGGAGAGAGAAAATCACAGATATTATGGGTAAAAATTTAACCGTCAACCTGGAGAACCCCGACTCACTGGTGGCCACAGGTGAACCCCAGGTGCTGGTCAGAATAGTCACAGCTGGCCCTTCTGCAACCAGGCCACCGTCTCCTGAGTGTGTCTGGCGACCCAGAGGACCTCTAGTACCTCCCACCGTGCTGGGCCCTGCTGTGTCCTCACCACATCCGGAACTGAGCCCAGCTTCTGCCCAGGCCCCATTTCCAGAAAAGCCCACACTCCTCTGTGGCCAGTTGTAGCTGGAGAACCCTGTGACCTGGGCTCTTCACCCCACTTCCTTTCTTCCTCTCCTTGGGGTTAGACTGGGTGGTTCCAGCTACACTGCTCACCCCTTTTCTCTCACAGAGAGGATGTCTGGATAAAGTCCTGGCTCCCTTTCCCATCAGTCTGTACAGGGCTGTGGGGCCCGTGTGGGGCCCGTGTGGGGCCCGTGTCTGCAGCAACCCCTCTGCCTCTGAGGAGTCTCGTCTCCTGTACCTGGCTTGTGCCTTCTTCACTGTTGCAGTGGAGGGAGATACCCTGACTGCCTGTTTTCACTGGCTCTGTGTGGGGGTGCTGCTGTGAGAATGCACCCAGGGCCCTCTGACCCCCACCCACATTGACACCGGTTCCTCCTCTCCTCAGGCCTCCAGGACTGCTCATGCTGCTGCGGGCCAACAGGCTTTCACCATGAACATGAGGAAGCCACTCTGCTCTAACTCCGTGATTGGGGTCTGCACCCTCATCTTCTTGGTTTCTGCTGTTATTGTGGGCCACCTCATGCTCCGTGACTTCATGCTGCTTCCGCAGGACTTTCATGAGTCCTCTCCAGGACTGCAGAAGACCTTCAGAGCTCACCACTGGGAAGGTTACGGGCCAAGGCCCCAGCGCCTCCAGAAGCACCCCGACCATCCCGCAGCGGTGCCCATGCAGTGTGACGTGCCCCCCAACAGCCGCTTTGACTGCGCCCCGGACAAGGGCGTCTCCCGGGAGCAGTGCGAGGCTCGTGGCTGCTGCTATGCCCCAGCAGGGCCGGTGCGGAAGGGGTCGCTGATAGGGCAACCCTGGTGTTTCTTCCCTCCCAGTTACCCCAGCTACCGGCTAGAGAACCTGAGCGCTACAGAGACGGGGTACACAGCCACCCTGACCCGAACCAGGCCAACCTTCTTCCCAAAGGATGTGCTGAGCTTACAGCTGGACGTGTTGATGGAGACAGATAGCCGCCTCCACTTCATGGTGGGTGTGGGTGTGGTAGACCCTGGATAGAGCTGGGTCACCAAGAGGGCCTGGGAAAAGACAGCCCCATGCAGAAAGAGGGCCAGGCAGAGCAGAGGGTAGGTGTGAGGACAGGTGACTCATTTTCCCAAGGGTGAGAGACAAGCTGATTCCTGGGGCTCACTGGCCACCAGCCCAGCCAAGTTGGAGAGTGATAAAACAAACACCTTCCCTCCACCTCTGACTTCCACAGCGCGCACACACACACACACACACACACACACGCACGCACGCACGCACGCACGCACGCACACACACACGTACACGCACACGCACGCACGCATGCACACGCAAACATACACAAACACGCACACGCACAGAGATAAATACAAAAAATTAAAAACTATTTGTGGGGCCTGGTACGTAGCTCAGTGGTAGCACATGTAGCATATCCTTGGCATGTTCAGGGCCTGAGTTTGATCCCCAGAAGTGAAAAGAAATTTTTTTGAGAAACTAGTCATGCTTGTAGCTGCAGCGTTTAGGAGGCTGTAGCAAGAGGATTTCCGTGAGGGAAACGTTAGCCTAGGCTTCATAGTGAGTTCCAGGCTGGCCCAGGCTACAGAGTGAGACCCTGCCTCAAAAATTAATTAACTTATTAAAAAGATAAGCCAAGGGGAAAAAAGAACACACACACAATTGTTGACTGTTTATCTGGAGTTCAAGTTTAGTGAGCGGTCTGCTTCTGGCAGCCCCGGTGAGGTCTCCTCTGCTCCAGTTAATAGCTGAGTAAACTGAGGCCCATAGCTACACAGAGTGCAGCTACCCCAGGAGGGACCCGCGCTGACTGACCGTCCTACAGCCGTGTCAGGAGAGGGGATTCCGGTGAGCGGAGGAGCCGTCACAGAAGGGTCACCTGCTCCCTCACTGTCTCTTCTCTCCTAGATCAAAGATCCCACTAATAAACGCTACGAAGTGCCCCTGGAGACCCCGCGTGTCCTGAGCCAGGCACCATCCCCTCTCTATAGCGTGGAATTCTCAAAGGAGCCCTTTGGACTGATTGTTCGCCGGAAGCTAGATGGCCGGGTGCTGTGAGTACCTGGAATTGTGACCCTACCCTGGGTTGACAGGGACATGGTGGCCCCTCAGGCCTCATCCCTGGCTCTGCTGTCTACCTGCCCCTGCCCCGGGCTAGTCTGTTTTCCTTTGCTGTGATAAACACCACGTGAGCAAAGGCTTTATTTCATCTTACAGCTCTCAGGTCACACCCCATCGCTGCAGGAAGTCAGGGCAGGCACTTGTGACTTGCTTAGCTTGCTTTCTTATCTGTCCCAGGACCACCAGCCCCAGGGTGGTACCACCCACAGTGTGCTGGGCCCTCCCACATCAGTCAATCAAGACCATGCTCCCACAGGATTGCATACAGGCCAATCTGATGGAAGTATTTCCTCCATTGAGAGTCATTCCCTCTTCCCGGATGACCCTAACTCTATCAAGTTGACAAAAACCAACCCCCAGAGCCCTCTTCCCTTTGTGGCCCACCACGCATGCATCCGTGACCTACGGTTGAGTGCTCACCCAGTCTTGGCTTGGTGCTACTACATTGGGTCTCAGAGGTTCCCTCCGTGGCCTCCCAGTGAGATGCATGGCAGTGTGGAGATGGCGTCATTGCTACAACGGCAGTGTTCAGCACATCCCAAATGACTCGCCATAAAGGAGACCCGCCCAGGCCACAGTGGCGCCCCCTGCAGGTGGCATGCACCCCCTGCAGGTGGCGAGCCCGGTGGCCTTTTGTTTATCAAATACACATCTCTTCCTGTGCACGCTACTGTTGACTCACTTCATCTCCGTAAATAGCCTGTGTTGTCACGGCCCTCATTGTACGGACAAGAGCACAGGCCCAGGAGGGGCTGGCGGGACAGAGCTAGGCTAGGGGACAGAGTGTTCCTGCCATCAGCCTCTCTTGGGATTGTGTCCGTCTGGTGCCGTGTCTCCTTGACAGGACCTCATGTCTGGGCTACTGTGTCCTCTGACCTGGGGTAACGTGGGCCCCTCGGAGCACACCTGCTCTGGCTTTTCCCACTGTCTTCAGGTATTGAGAGCTGCTGGTCATTGTGTGGCCGTTGTCCCAGGGTTGGCCTGATGCAGAGCTGGTGAGGCCACTCTGTCCCTCCCCAACCCTTCCCTCTGAAGGATCCATCACCCTGGGTTTGTGTGGCCTGGGATCCAAGGGTCCCTGATGTCTGCCCACAGGCTGAACACTACCGTGGCCCCCCTGTTCTTCGCTGACCAGTTCCTACAGCTGTCCACGTCACTGCCCTCCCAGCACATCACAGGCCTCGCTGAGCACCTCAACCCGCTCCTGCTCCGAACCGAATGGACTCGGATCACCCTCTGGAACCGGGACATGGCACCCTTGGTAAGAGATGAGCAGAGGGCGGGAGTGTGGAGGCTGGGGTCCTGGGTACGAGATGCTGTCTCTTGTCACCCCAGCAAGGTGCCAACCTCTATGGGTCACACCCTTTCTACCTGGCACTGGAGGACGGTGGCTTGGCTCACGGTGTCTTCCTGCTAAACAGCAATGCCATGGGTGAGTCACCAGACGGGGCCTCCTGAGTGGTCCTTCCGTGGGGGAGTTTGAGGCTCTGCCTGCTCCAGAGGGCCCGAATCCAGTGAGCAGAGTCTTCTCCTGCTCATGCCCTCTGTACCTAAGGAGGTCTGGGGGGTTCCCCGGGCTCATCTGCCCCCATCCTCCCGGCCTTGCTAAGCTGGGCTCAGAAGAGCCGCTCCTCTCCCTCCCTGCGGGCTCTTCCAGCCTTTGTACTGAAGAGCCCCTCACTCTGCAGGGGCTCGTCTGGGGGGACTCTTTGCTGAGCCCAGGCCGCTTTCTTCCAGACGTGATCCTGCAGCCCAGCCCGGCCCTCACCTGGAGGTCAACAGGAGGGATCTTGGATGTGTACGTGTTCCTAGGCCCAGAGCCCAGGAGCGTTGTGCAGCAGTACCTGGATGTTGTAGGTAGGGCATGCTCTGTCCACTGACCTCAGACCCCTGGCCCCTGACCCTTGTCCCCAGTCCCTGCTCACTTGTAGTACTGGCCTGCAGGATACCCCTTCATGCCGCCATACTGGGGCCTGGGTTTCCACCTCTGCCGCTGGGGCTATTCCTCCACTGCCATCATCCGCCAGGTGGTGGAGAACATGACCAGAACGCACTTCCCCCTGGTGAGTGGGAGTCAGGGTGGGGCAGCCCCAGCTTCCGGACTGTCGATTCCCGATCTCAGCTACAGCTCCCCTCCCACGCCGCAGGATGTGCAGTGGAATGACCTGGACTACATGGACGCCCGCAGGGACTTCACCTTCAACCAGGACGGCTTTGCGGACTTCCCAGAAATGGTTCGCGAGCTCCACCAGGGTGGCCGGCGGTACATGATGATAGTGGTGAGCAGATCTGGGTGCAGCCCACACAATCTCTGAGTCTTTGATGGTAAGGGAATGTCTGGAGGTTTGCAGCCTTAGTGTCTGCTGGCCAGGGTCCTGGAAGTACCTGTGTCACGCTTAGGACTCTGGTCGTGAGCTGCTTGAACTGCTATAAAGCCCAAGACCGGGGCCATAACAAGCTAGTACTGGGCAAAGTACCTAGATGTGGTTTGTGTGTCTCCTGGCCCTGCTTCTCTCTCAGACCAGCTCTGTCCATGTGTAAGGAAGCAGACTTGCCTCCTGTCTGTCGCCACAGCTGGAGGGGGCCAGGGGCTGTCCTAGCTGTGGGCTCCGCCCAACCCTGGCCAGAGAAATGGGGTCCAAGAAGGCCAAACAGCCACTGCCATGGGACCTCCTTCAGCAGAGGAGGCCAAGCTGTGGGAGGTTTAGTTAAGAGGACCACACCTGCCTCATCATCGCCACAAGGACGGTGAACAGCAGTTACTTGCCACGGGCAGAGTCAGCGAAGACCACACACGAGTTAGGCAACCTCTCTGCCCCTGAGCTACACCCTTAACTCTCTGACCAGGCAGGCCTTGAACTCATAATCCTCCTGTTTTAGCTTTCCAAGCAGCTGGGATGACAGGCCTGTATCACAAGAAAGGCAAGCACCATCATGCCTGGGTAGTTTTTTTTGTTGTTGTTTTTTTTTTTTTTTTTTTTTTTTTTTTTTTTTTTTTTTTTTTTTTTTGGTCTTTTTTAAAAAAGTAAATGGAGGCTGGAAAGATGGCTCAGCAGTTAAGAGCACACTGTTCTTGAAGAGGACAGAGTTCAGTGCCTGGTACCATGTCAACTAGCTCACCACTGCGCGCGCACACACACACACACACAAATAATAAGTTGGACATTGTGGCATACACCTTAAATCCCAGCACTCGGGAGGCAGAGGCAGGTGGACCTCTGAGTTAAGGCCAGCCTGGTCTACAGTGTGAGTTCCAGGACAGCCAGGGCTACACAGAGAAACCCTGTCTTGAGAAACAAAACAAAATAAAACAAAACAAAAATAAAAGAAGCAAACAGCGGACAGTTCTCTTGAACTCTGGAAGGTCAGGGGACGGGCGGATCGTGCCTCCAGATTCACCTCCAGCTCCCAGTAAGCTCCCCGGACTGGCCAACTGTGTGCTGTTGTCGTGTCCCATCCTGTCCCTGCCTCTTCTTCCCCAGGACCCGGCCATCAGCAGTTCAGGCCCTGCTGGGAGTTACAGGCCCTATGATGAGGGTCTTCGGAGGGGCGTGTTCATCACCAATGAGACTGGGCAGCCACTGGTTGGGAAGGTAGTGTGGGGGACGGGGACTGTGATCAGGGGGACAGAGTAGCTGTCCAGGGACAGGCTCAGATTCAGAAGCTACCACGTCCAGTGGAACAGAGGGAAGTGGGGGGTCCTCACTGAGGGTGATGGTAACTCCTGTGAAACTCCTGGGATTTCCAAAGTGGTGGGGGACTGGTGGGGGGTGATCTCAGGCATGAGCAGCTGGGCCTAGCTCAGGCCTAGCAAATTTCTCATGAGGCCTTGGGGGTCTCCCTTGTCCTCCTTGTCCCTGGGGCCCTTCTGGGAGTTCTGAATCCCAACCTCCCCATCCTAAGGTGTCCCTAGCTGTGGGAAGGGCAGGCTTGGGGCTGTGTCCGATGGTGGGAGCTCCATTGGGGTTGTCCCAACTTCTTCCCAATGCTTCATCTGCTCCATGGCTTTGTGTGTAGGGCCAGCCCTTGCTCTCCTGAGGCTGAGGCCTCACAGGGCCGTGGTGCGGTATCTATGTGGGACTGGTTCTCACCTCTGGACTCTTGTTCAGGTATGGCCTGGATTCACCGTCTTCCCCGATTTCACCAACCCTGAGACCCTTGACTGGTGGCAGGACATGGTGTCTGAGTTCCACGCCCAGGTGCCCTTTGATGGAATGTGGATTGTAAGTATATCCCCATCCCTGGGCACACACCTAGTCTCTGGGGACCAACCCAGCTCTACATCTTTGGCCTCTTACAGGACATGAACGAACCATCCAACTTCATTAGAGGCTCCCAGCAGGGTTGCCCTGACAACGAACTGGAGAACCCTCCCTATGTGCCCGGTGAGCCCGCTTGCCTGTCTGGAGTGGGGACGGTGCTGGAGTAGTGGCCTGGACCAGGGAGGGCCCCTTTGTGGTTCGGACGATGCAAAGCCCTGGGTTTCATCCAGCAGCAGGCAGAGCAGCCAGCAGGACAGAGGGAAGAAACCCAACCGAGGCCACAGACACTCACATGTAGCCAGTGCCTGAGGGGAAGGGCTTGGGCTCAGATGGGCAGACACTGGGGATGCAGCAAGAGCAGGCGGATATGGAGGCTGTAGGTTTGCAGAGGATCGTCTCTGGCACCGCCTGCTCTGTCTTTGGAATAGCGGAGGTGTACAGTGACATGCAACAAGCATCATGGGCCAGTGGGCCAGCTTCAGGAGGCTCTGTCCTGGGCTGACCCCAAGGAGGTGTCAGTCTGAGCAGAGGTTGTGGGCAAAGGAGAGCGCGTGGAGCCCTGGAAACCAGTAACCTAGTCCTTCTCTCGCCCAGGGGTGGTTGGCGGGTCCTTGCAGGCAGCCACGCTCTGTGCCTCCAGCCGCCAGTTCCTCTCCACACACTACAATCTGCACAACCTGTACGGCTTGACGGAAGCCATCGCCTCCAACAGGTGAGGCTGTGCCCTGTGCAGCCCGCCCGCCCGCCCGGCCGCCCGGCACTCACAGTGGGGGCTGAGAGGTGAGCTGGCTCCCGTCAGGGTCATGGAGCACCCATGGGCCTGCGATGCCTGCGCATTCCTGCCCAACTGGTCACTGCTCTCCACTCCAGCTTGGAGCCGGCCTCTGCACAAGACGTCCTGGATGTTAAGTGGGTAGGGAATGCCCCCTAGGGGACTCCATGAGTCCAGCAAGGCTCAGTGTGGTGGCTCACCTGTGGATGACACGGAGTCGCTGGGCCAGGGCTGACTGTGCCTAGCATACTTTGGTGGTGGTCTCTGTCTTCCCCATCCATTCTGTCCTTTTCCTGAACAGTAGTTCCTTCTAGCCACGGTCCCCTCGCCCCTGGCCCCTGGTGTTCTGTGCCAGCACACCAGGTGGTGGGTGTGTGGTACTCAGAGGAGCCCAGTTCTCTGTTCCCCTCCCACTCAGGGCCCTAGTGAAGACTCGGGGCACACGACCCTTTGTGATCTCCCGCTCAACCTTCGCTGGCCACGGCCGGTACGCTGGCCACTGGACAGGGGATGTGTGGAGCACCTGGGAGCACCTTTCTTACTCTGTGCCAGGTGGGTACACAATGCCTGGAGGGCACTGGGGTCCAGTCTGGGGGCTGTGTGTTCCGGGCTGAGCCCTCAGATAGTATTGAGCTGGCTTGGGGACCTGTTGCCATCTCATGTGGGGAGTGAAGCCTGCTGGTCCCTACTCAGTTGTGCAAACCTGCTCACCTGTGTCCCCTTCCTCCTCAGTGTCCCTGTGTCCAGTTCCCCTGACCAGTGCTTGAAAAGCCCCAGAATCTCGTTTCTCACAGTTGTTCTCTGGTGACCCCATCCTGAGATACAGAGACACCTGCTCTATTTGCAAAAAGGAATTTGATTTTTGTTCCAAGAACTCGGATGCCATTTGGCCCACATTAGGTCACAGAAGTCAGGAGCCCTGGAGAACAGACTAGGGAAGGAGGGGAGCCAGGGCACCACATGGGCAGCTAAGAGCCTTGACTAAGAGTCTAGAGATTCTGACTTAGGGAAGACTGGCTTCTTCTGTGGAGGATATGTCCACAGACCTATGAAGGACCCCAGCTAGCTGAGCTCTCAGAGGTCAGCTGTCACCTCTGCCCTGTGGGCGTCACCTCTGCCCTGTGGGCGTCACCTCTGCTCTGTGGACGTCACCTCTGCCCTGTGGGCTGAAGCTCACTCCAGGGAGGCCTGGCAGGCCAGGAGCCGGACTTAGAACTGCCTTGCAGAGCTGGGGTCTGGACTTGCTCCCTTCTCTTTGGGGCTCAGGTCTCCCATGAGCTGAAGTACTGAGCTGAGTTCTAGCTGCTTCCAGGGTCAGGTGTGACACAGAGAAGTCTCCAGGGCCCCAGGCTGCCCACCGGCTCCCCAGCTCTAAGGAGACACCGAGAAAAGCCAGTGCAGCAGAGGGAGACTGGGGGTTGGCACTGGGCTGAACATCAGGAGCCCATCCACCCCTTAGCAGTCAGGGGGACGCCCAGCCTGGCTTGTCTGTGAGTGTCCTGAGGCCACCATAGCAGAGGGCAGCGTTTGGGGCGTTAATGTAGCGGAATCCGTCCACTGACTGCCAGACCCCGGGTCCGCAGTCCAGGAGTGGCAGGGCCGCACCGCCTTGCACAGAGGTGTGACTGGGTGCCCCTGCACAGCCTTGTGGACCTTCCTGGGCATCTCACTGCATTACTATGGGCTTCACCTCTGTCCTGGCAGGGCTGCCTACCCACGGGACCTTATCTTCACTGGCATTTTCCTCTGAGGAGGACATCAGCTATGTTAGAATAGGACCACACCAACCACTTCACCTTAGTACCAATACTTGGAAAAGTTCCTGTTTCCAAATAGGTCACTGTCACACACCCTGTGCCACCATACACTGGGCTCTGGTCTGCTCTGCTGACCCCAGGTGGGAAGCACAGAGGCCAGTGGGCTCTTGATGGATGATGGTGAGGTTAAGTTTGACCCGCCCGGCAGGCCTGCCTGTCCAGTCTTGGTAACTGGTGTCCCTCTGCCTCTGCACTCTCAGAAATCCTGCAGTTTAACCTGCTAGGCGTGCCCCTGGTCGGGGCGGACATCTGTGGCTTCCTGGGAAACGCATCAGAGGAGCTGTGTGTACGCTGGACCCAGTTGGGGGCCTTCTACCCCTTCATGCGGAACCACAATGACCTCAATAGCATGGTAGGAGGGGCGGCAGGGGGCCCCCACCCACCAAGACCCTGTCCTGACTAATCCCATACCTGCTGGAGGAGCCCAGGCCATGCTGTCCTCTCCACACAGGATGGAGCCATAGGTTCTTGGGGTTGATTGACCCCTGGCCTAGGAACCCAGAGACGTCCTGTTCTAGTGCACTTTCTCATTGCTGTGAGAAACACACATGACCAGAAGCAGCTTGGGGCAGGAAGGGTTTATCTTCCAGTTCACGTCATGAAGGGAAGTCAGGGCAGGAACTGACGAAGAGACCAGGGAAGGCTTTTTAATACATCCCAGGCCCACCTACCCAGGTGGTACCACCCATGGTGGACTGGGCCCTCCCACATCAATCTTAAGTAAGAAAATGCCCCTCCCACTTGCCTGTAGGCCAGTAGGGTGGAGGCATTTTCTCAGTGGAGGTTCCCTCTTCCCAGATGATGCCAGCTTGTGTCAAGTTGACGAAAAGCTAATCAGCGCGCCTCCTTTCCCTGTCTGCCCACACAGCCTCAGGAGCCGTACAGGTTCAGCGAGACAGCTCAGCAGGCCATGAGGAGGGCCTTCACTTTGCGCTACGCCCTCCTGCCCTACCTGTACACGCTCTTCCACGGTGCCCACACCAGAGGGGACACAGTGGCCCGGGCTCTCTTCCTGGAGTGAGTCACCTGGGTCCGGGAATGACATCTTACATGGGTCCGGGAGGGGGGGGCTGACCAGAAGTCTGCTGATGCCAGGGAACCTCCTCCCACTATGGTCAGTGTTCCCACAACCCAAGCTGGCTGCAGCTGAGTGTGACCAGTGTGCCCTGTGCCCTCAGGCCTCCTAGACCTCAGCTCAGGGCCAGGACATGTGGAGTACGGAAAACTGGCTGGGGTCCCGGCCAGGCTTGCTGGCTGGCAAAGCTCTGATGAGGTAGTCATGAGTGAGCCATTTGGGGGTGGCTCAAGGGAGGAGGAGAAGCCCGAGATGCCCCGTCTGTATCCCCAGACCGGACTCTGCTCACGTAGACGTTGCTTGTGATCTCTCCAGTGGGCAGACAGCGGAAGGTTCTTGGGTAGAAAAGGCAAGTAGCTCACTCTGAGAAGTCAGCATCATCCCTACCACAGACAGATAAGTTCCAGACAGACTAGGTGGCTAACCAGTTAGGCTGGGCAACGGCCCAGCTGGTCAAGTGCTTGCCTTGCAGGCACGGGATTCAAGCTTGATCCCCAGTGTTCATGTTAAAAAGCTGGGTGTGCAACATGAGGGTGGTGGCGCACGCCTTTAATCCCAGCACTCGGGAGGCAGAGGCAGGCGGATCTCTGTGAGTTCAAGGCCATCCTGGTCTACAGAGCGAGATCCAGGACAGGCACCAAAACTACACAGAGAAACCCTGTCTCAAAAAACAAAACAATAACAAAAAACTGGATGTGTGGAATGAGGGTTTGGTGGCGCACACCTTTAATCCCAGCACTCAGGAGGCAGAGGCAGGAGGATTGCTGTGAGTTCAAGGACAGACTTGTCTACAGAGTGAGTTCCAGGACAACCAAGGCTACACAGAGAAACCCTGTCTCGAAAAACAAAAACAAACAAACAAACAAAAGAATTGTTCTGGACTCTGGCACAGAGCTTGAAGTTTCCCAGAGACGGGATTCCTGACTGTTCCTGCAGCTCGTCTCCAGACCCTCATGCCTGTCTCTCCTGTGAAGGTTCCCTGAGGATCCCAACACCTGGACTGTGGACCGCCAGCTCTTGTGGGGGTCAGCCCTGCTCATCACACCTGTGCTTGAACCTGGGAAAACTGAAGTGACTGGCTACTTCCCCGAGGGCACGTGGTACAGCCTGCAGATGGTGAGTCCTGAGGTTCCTCCTATACAGAAGTGGTGGGTAGTCACAGGGTGGCCATGCCTTCCTGGCCTGTCAGTGACATACTGAGTCCTTACCTGGTGCCCCTAGTGTACCAGCTCTTTGCTGTAACCCCCTCTGCCAGCGGACGCAGTGAAGACTGGAGAGGGTAGCTTCCAGGCCCCCACAGCCATCGAGGCCGGGCCAGACCTACCCTGCTCAGTCCTACACTGAGTCCACCCCTGGGTGCTACCTGGGACCCTTCTGATGTGACCCGGTCCTCTAGGTACCAGTGGAAGGTCTTGGCAGCCTCCCATCTCCACCATCGTCTCCTCCGTCACCCCTCCGATCTGCTGTCCACAGCAAGGGCGAGTGGCTGACGCTTGAAGCCCCACTGGACACCATCAATGTGCACCTGAGGGCAGGCTACATCATACCACTACAGGTACCCAGACCCAGCAGCTCCGGGCCTCGGGGAGGGGGGCGGGGAGCAAGCACAGGGCACAGTCTGCCTTCCCTCATTGGAGCTCTGGCAGGATAAACCCCTGGTAGTCATGGAGGCACAAAAGGACTTGGCCAGGGTAGTCACCAGACATCCTGGGTTACCTAACACCTGGCCAAGACAGTCACCATAGATATCCTGGAAGTCCAAGGTATGACATGTGCCCACCCCCTTCTCAGGGACCCAGCCTCACAACCACGGAGTCCCGAAAGCAGCCCATGGCGCTGGCTGTGGCGTTAACAGAAAGCGGCGAGGCCTGTGGAGAGCTGTTCTGGGATGATGGAGAGAGCCTTGGAGTTCTGGAGCGTGGGGCCTACACACTGGTCACCTTCTTGGCCAAGAACGTGAGTGCCAGGGCCTGTCCAGGCCGGTGGGTAGAAACATGGGCGTGGGGCTGTCCTGATCTGGTGGAGGGAGGGACTGGGCCGGCGGCCACCATCCCTGAGTCAGCATGCCCTCAGGTCTGCACACAGGAGGCTATCCTGTGAGGCTTAGTGAGCCATTCGGGGGTGGGCTCGCTGTCAGTCTAAGGACACATTTTTCATCTCTCCACATGACCAGAATACCATCGTGAACAAGTTGGTACACGTGACCAAGGAGGGGGCTGACCTACAGCTGAGGAAGGTGACCATCCTGGGAGTGACCACAGCTCCTACACAGGTCCTTTCCAATGGTGTCCCTGTCTCCGATTTCACCTACAGCCCGGACAGCAAGGTGAGAGGGCAGGCTGGGGACTGGGTTCTTCCACCCTGGTAGGCATGGAAAAAGGGGGTGCTAAGGACCCCAGGGACTCACTTGGTCCGGCTATCGTGAAACATGGGGGGAGGCAGAGGACATGTGGACCTACCTCACCCCCGCCATTCCTACCTCGGGGGGCAGTGACGATGGAGGCTGAGCTGCTGAACAGAAGAACCTTGTTCCCAGTGGAGTCAGGTGCTAAGTCTGAGGCACTGGTCCCTCTCCTTGGTGGAGAGGGTGGCCTGGCATCCGCTCATCAGATGCTCGTCTCCAGAGCATGGCTGTGGGTGGGAACCTCTTGACACTCACTTTTTTCTGTCTTCCAGACCCTGGCCATCCCTGTCTCACTGCTCCTGGGGGAAGAGTTTCAGATCGATTGGTCCTAGCAGACCACACCTGTTTAGAGGCCTCTCGGTGAGGCGATGTACAGCTTTGGATGGGGGCCTGTAAGAACCTGAGTCCTGGTCTTGACACATCTTTGGTTTTTTTCCACTATGTTGCTGCTTCTGCCCTTGAGGCACTGTGTTAGGAAAGGAGTGAGGCTTGCTAGTCTGTCTGTCCCCAGCTGTCCGTCCCTGACACTAGAGAATGTGGAGCTCAGCATGGGACACTGTACCTGCACCGACAGGCCATGCAGCCACTGCGACTGTGACCCTACAGAGACAGAGCTGGTGATGCCGTCAGGGTCCTAGGACTTGAGAAACTTACTGTGAAGTGCACTTATTTAAATAAACAGGACATTTGGAACCAGCTCTCCTTCCATCACCCCATGTCGTCATATCACGCTCATGTCACTCACATCCCCAGTCATCCTCAGGTCCCCAGCATGACTCCTTCCATCACCTCAGGTCTGCTTGTCACCTCTCTAGGCACTCCCCGCCGGAGTGACTGAGAACGTCCGCTGGAGCTGGTCAGGGAGGTATTGGCGGAGACATGCCAGGGAAGGGCTTCCCAGAGTGGGGCCTGAGACCATAGCCCCAGGCAGAGATCTGTCCCCAGAAATGCAGGCCCAGGCTCCCTGGCGAGTCTGGAGCGAAGGAAGGTGTTTTATGTCTGTCACAAACTGGTAAGTGTCACTCATGCCCAAACTCTGTCACCAGGGCTGAGGGGTAGCAAGCCCAACCAAGAACCAAAAGCATGAGGACCCTGGGAGCCACTCATCTCACTGGGTCATCATGTCTGGAGTCCCTTCTAGATCTCACTGGGTCATCATGTCTGGAGTCCCTTCCAGCTGGGCCTCTTCGCCTTCGGGGAGCATCTTGTTAAGTACCTGGCTCCCAGCAGTCGTGTGGAAAGAGGAACAGGGTAGCAGCTGCCCGATCCCTCCTTGGGGTCCTAGAAAGCAGAGGCACCTGACTGACTCCTGTGGGAGTGAGTCTCTCTGCCTGTGGTTTACATCGTTTGTTCCTCCACCGCATGGAGGACCTAGCTGACAGGCATAGTTACGCTCCCCGAGTATCCAGAGAGAACGGAAGGGAAGGAGCCAAGTGGCCACAGGCATGCTGCCCCTGGCTCCCTGCTGGCCCTCACCCAAGAGCCTGTCAGGTGGTCTGGTGGAGCCATGGACTGGCCACTAACGGTGTTCCCTGGCCACTGCCCGGCCCTTTAGCACACCTTGGGCTGCTGTGAAAGGCTGGTCCTACTTAGCCTGTCCTGAGCCCTGGACGAGGAGGGGGTTTTCCTGGAAGGGACAGGGTAAGAGGCGAGGAGTGGACTGGTCCACTGGCTGAGGCCTGAGGTCTGCTCGTGTCCCACGCTGTATAATCATGAGACATGGGCAGTGCATCTGGAGAAGAGATGTGCAAAGCCTGGGACTGTGCCACCTGGTCCTTCTGACGGGGAAGGCAGCCAGGGCCTTTGCAGTCCTTTCCTTGACTATCGAGAGGCAGATCAAGCAGCTTGGGACAAGCAATGAGAAATCAGTCAAGAGCTGGCCTTTTGTCCATGCAGGCTACATCTAGGATGTTGTGAGTTCATCTCTCATTCAGCATCTGTCTTGTCCTTGTTGGTATGGCTGCCCTTGACTGTTCCATACTTTTCCTATTTTCTTTCATTCCAACATTACTTCCTAGAGGGAAGGTTCCAGAAGCTCCTGAAACAAGGTTCATAGGGCCTCCCGAAAAGATATGTAGCAGTAACAGCTACCAGATAGGAAACTCTCTAAACCAGCTGAGCTGGCTTGCGGTCTGTAGTCTGGGGACACAGCTCTCTGCATGCTGGGGTGGGCTTTTCTGTAATGCAACTGCCTTCAAGTCACCCATTGTCAGTAACCCCAATAAACCCTGCTCTGTTAAGCTGGACTCGGTGTTTGCTCCCGGGAAGTCACACAGTACAGGGACAGACATGCCACCATGTTCATAACTGGGCCTTTTTATTTTTCATCTATCATGGGTCCATGTAAGTCTGACACAACTATTCCAGTCCACGTCGAGAACAAACCCAGAGGGTGATAGGGAACTTCCTAAGGGAAGAATGTGGTTTTTGCTGTGGTGCTTCCTATCCCAGCAGCAGTGCGGGACGGTTACCTCCCCCCCCCCCCCATCAGGATCCATCATCTTCTCCCACACATGAAGTACTTCCCCCCATCAGGATCCATCATCTTCTCCCACACATGCAGTACCTCCCCACATCAGGAGTCATCTTCCTCCACCACACATGCATTTTCGGAAGGGATGCACACAGACTAGTGAGGGAGTAAGGGGATGACACATGCTTAGCCAGCATCAGCCCAATCACCCTGGCACCAATGGGATGCCATGTTACAGCCAGATCACCCTCACATTGCAGGCTGAACTCACAACGGCTTGACTTCAGCACTTGTGGAGAGCGTGTGGAGGTGCCCACTGTGATCCTCACTACCAACTGCCCCACACCAAGCAGCTCTCACCAGGCTCATATGCCACCCATGTCTTCTCCAGCAACATCCGTTCAAATATCCCCCTCCCATGCTGGGCCATCTAACCCTTGCACAGTGCTGCTTTTCGATCCCTGGCAGAACACATTTCCATAGTGCCGGTGGCTTCTAGTAACAAATCAATTCTGCCACAGGTACCTGGCTGGCCAGTCAGTGTCAGAGGCTGTTGGCAGACTGGGCTACCATTTAAGGGGAGGTGTCCCCTGCCAGCTGCAGTCCACCCTCATCTTCAAGGCTCCCCTCAGACCCTGCCCCGACCCGAGCACATGCAGTCGAGGCTCCTGACCTTCCCAGGACGTGAGTGGGTGGGTAAACCCCAGGGTGATGTGACAACTGCAGTGTCCACAACTTAAAGAACCACCAACAGGCTCTCGGCAAACTCCAGGTGGCCAGGTGACAAGCGCCTCATGTGGTCTCCCGGTTTGGGCTTCACTTTTCCACTTCTGTGCCATCTGAAGACGTTTAGTCCCCACAAGTCCACGTCAGAGCTCTTTTTCTACCCATCTTAAACTTCTGCCAAACCTCAAGTCATTCTTTTTCTTCTGACCTCTACTATGGATTTTGTCGTCGATTACTTTAAAGGTCTCAAGTTGGATTCTGCACAGAATGTGGAGTTTGAGGGAGAAACGGTCTGTTTGTGACCAGACCAGGAAGGCTGGTGACACACAAGAAATCAGCACTCAAGTTCATGGGAAAACTTCCATGTTTAATGTAAAAGGCTTAAAGTATTGGATTATTTACATGTGAGTAAGAAAAGATGGCAGAGCCCGAGGATCTTCCTGAGGGGCTGTGAGAAGACAGTTCATAGGAACCCCATTAAACAGAGGCTTCTTGTTTCTAAGACGGAGCTCACAGCATGCGCTGCCATATCCGGGCCCTTGGTGCACCTGCACCAGCTTCAGATCAGGTCAGCCACTGGAGAGGAAAGGTACATTAACAATGCCACATGTCCTCTCCCCACCCTAGTAAGGGAGCCCCTCCCACAGCCACCAACAGCCAGCAACTTGCCGTTCATGGGCATCTCGTCTATCTGGGTGGAGTAGTACTGTTCTATGTCCCTGAGGATGCGGATGTCATCATTCTTCACAAAATTGATGGCCACACCTTTGCGGCCATATCGACCCGATCTCCCGATTCTTTAGAATAAAATATGTGTGTTAGTGAACAGTCACACAGATGGAGGCCAACAGTCTTGAGCAAAGAAGGAGACACACACCTGTGAATGTACAGTTCTCTGTTGTTGGGCAGGTCATAGTTAATGATGAGGGACACCTGAGGGACATCCAGGCCCCGGGCCCAGACATCCGTGGAAATGAGCACTCGGCTGCAGAAAGAAAAGCCAGAAAGGTGAGAGAGAGTAGAGCAGCCTCTGTACAGTTTCAAGTAGCCTGGCCAAGGGCCCTGAGCAATCACATCACCCACATGCCATGGAAAACATGCTACAATTACTTAAAACGTGGGGTCAGCCCCTTCAGGAAAACATGACTTTTGCTTAGCAAAAATCCTATTATGAACAGGCACCTGCTGATGGCATCATTTTCAACTTAAGGTAATAAATCCACACCACTCCCCTACCACAGCAGCTGCTCTGCCCAAGTGGTGCCATCTGCCCACACGAGGCCAGAGACATGCATGCTACCACACCAGTCCTAACATGACAGGTGTACAAGGCCAAGGGGCTTGAAAACACAGTGCAAGAATACAACCACTCACACCAAGACTGCCTTACTGAAACAGTGCCGTCCTGACACTGTTACTAAGAAAGCGCAGCGGTTTCCCTCCCGTCCTGCCATGGTACTAGGAAGAAGATGGACTCCTGCTTCCACTGCAAGTAAGGGAAGGAGCATCCCAGGGGGAAGAAGCTCAAGAGCAGGCGCGTGGCTTCCCTGCCTTGAGCCGCACAACTGAACCAGGAGGAAGGGAAAGGCCAGAGACTAGATGGTCTACAGACGGCGACAGGACACGGAAGGAATTCATGTCTAGACTCAAAGGTCAACTGCTGAAAACTGAGAAGAAGAAAAGCATCCAGAGAGACAGACGCTGCAGGCGGAAAGCAGCCTACAGTTGCTTAAAACGGCAACTGTACTGGGCACCGAGACCTCAGAACGACGGGGCCAAGAGCGGGCGGACCACCTCATCTGAGGCAGAAGGAAACTAACGGCCACCACGGGAACCATCTCAGCAGCACCCTCCTTCACTCTCCAGGAGACTCGAGGAGAAGGGGACACTTCCAGACAGACAGAAGCAGGACTCTCACATTTGGACCAAACTAACTTGAGCATATCTCAAAGTTCACAGATGAGGAAAGAGAAGCAAACATGTCTAAATGTAAATAAATTCTATTCTATAAAGCAAAATGCCACTGTGGATTAAAAAGCACATTAATTGCCTTGCTGTGGTGGCGTACACTTTTAATCCCAGCACTTGGGAGGCAGAGGCAGGTGGATTTTGAGGCCCTCCTGGGGTCTGGGAGTGAGATCTAGGAAAGGCACAAAGCTACACAGAGAAATCCTCTCGAAAAACAAAAACAAACAAACAAAAAAAAACAAAGCACGTTAATCTCCAGCACTGAAAAACACCCAATTACATGTATGTATGTGTGTGTGTATGCGCGCGCGCGCACGAGCATATGTTTAGCATGCATGAAATTAATCTTAGGCATGGGGCTAAACAAATCCTTGTTCTGTCTGGAAAGACAGGGAAAGTAGCTACTGATAACATATTATTTAGGAAGAGAGATGGTGTCTCCAGGGTAGCTACTAAGTAACATTAAAAAACAAACAAACAAACAAACAAACAAACCCCACAACCTTCAAAGGGAAGGAAAAGTAATAGTTCAAAAATCAAAAAGCTGAGCAGTGGTGGCGCACTGTGAGTTCAAGGCCAACCTGGTCTACAGAACTTCCTGGTCTACAGAGTTCCAGGACAGGCTCCAAAAGCTACACAGAGAAACCCTGTCTTGAAAAACAAACAAACAAAAAAAAAAAAAAAAAAAAAAAAGAGGGAAAAATTCACTTACAAGCTGGTTAATTTAGATGAGTACACACAAGAAGTAAACTGTCCTAAATGGGCCACTTCAGACAGTGACTAGCTATGCACACACCTGTAAGTCCTACGCTCCAGAGGTAGAGGCAGGGGTCACAAGTTCAATGCCAGCCTGAACTGCATAGACAGAGCCTGTCTCAAAATCTGAAAACCAATCAAAACCAAAACAAACGGGGAGCGGGGACAATGGGACACAACACTCACATTACTGACAAATCAAAACCAAACCCAATTCTAACTTGTTTCAAAGAACCATGAAACGCAAAAACAAAGATGGAAGTATGGTCCAGAAATGCCCAGGGAAAAGCTGCCACAGGCTTGAGGACACCAAAGGTGGGTTCAAGTCTCCAGAGAGAAACTACATCTCTATACAAGCCGAGGACAGATGCCACAAGCATCCAGGAGATGGGCCACTGAGATGGCTCAGTAGTTTATTTAGTAAAGGAGCTTGCTGCCAAGCCCGACAACCCGAGTTCAATCTCTGGGACCAACAAGTGGGAAGAGGAAACTGACTTCCACAAATTGGTTCCTGACCTCCACACACACCCTACAGAACACATGCATCCCTACACACACAGCAACAGACAAACAATAATAAAAGAGAACACAGGGGCTGGAGAGGTGGCTCAGCGCTTGAGAGCACTGGCTGCCCTTCCAGAGGACCCAGGTTCAATTCCCAGCACCCACATGGCAGCTCACAACTGTCTGTAACTCCAGTTCTAGGAGATCTGATTAATGCACATAAAATAAAGTTAAATAAATCATTTAAAAAAAGAGAGAGAGAACACAGAGGATGACCTCACATCCTCAGTGACAGAGAGAACTGAATACAAGAGGGAAGGATATTGACAAGCTGAGGGCTACCAGCAGCTAAGCCTAGCTGGATATATCCTGCTCAAAGAAACAACACACGCTACTGCAAAATACCCAAAGGATCACAAGGCAGACCTGAATCAAAGGCACAAACTCACAAGACTTGTTCTCTGAGCACTCTGTGACCGATCCAACACGGGTTACCAGATGAACAGAAACCAGCGTGAACAGCAATCAACCCAATGGTTAATGTCAGTTCACCACTAACCCAACAGCCCCCACAGGGCAGCGTCCAATCAGAGAGCAGTATCGCCCCTGCACCTGGGGCAGGAAATGACATGAAAGCACCGAGGCCAGCATCATCTGTCCTCACACAGGAGCCAAAGCTGCCAAAGGCCTACCTGGCACCTGACCGGAACTCCTTCATGATGGACTCGCGCTCTTTCTGAGGCATGTCTCCGTGCATGGAGGATACAGTGAAGTTCGCTTCTCTCATTTTCTCTGTCAGCCAGTCAACCTACA